AATTGCATCTTTATCATCAGGATATCATGACTCTCAAGCTAAAGAAGTACAAGATAAGAGTTATGGATTATTCTTTTCACTTTTATTCAAATAAATACAATAATTGTATACAGCCTGATTAACTCTTCCAGCATCTTTCCTCTTCAGGCTGGCACACTCAGATTTAGATGTGCACTCCCGCAGCCACATCACGGCTGCGCAGCCTCTATCCTTTAATTTGAAACAATTGCTTCAGACTCACAGGCCAATAGCCACTCATCAGATGAACCACGGAGCCACCTGCCCATGTGAGACTGAGATGAGGACAGACATCTTTTTGGGTAAAAAACATTTGTATAATGTATCTTTGGATAGAGTGTAATTGTTTTCTCCCCTACTTTCCTAGATCAGGCACTTGAAAATGAGAAATTTCAGGATTGAGCAACCCAGTTCATAAAAATTCACTGCATTTGATTTCCTAATAAATTCAAACAGTGTGGGAGAAAACAGCATTTAGCATTTGCCACCAGAGTTAGTTAGACTGATAATGACAAAAGTATTTTTGATGTGCTAAAACTTGATTCACAAATGAAGTAGTTGGAGAAATTTCATTTGTTGTATATTTGCCTTGTTTTCCCTGAAATTCTGTCTTTAAAGATAAAGTAGTAGTTTCTTTAGTTTGAAATTGGTTTGATTAATATCACTTTTACTGGGAAAACTCTGATCTACTCTGTGGGCTTGGCCTCTGGTACCCCACCTGTTCATTTAAATAATAATTTATTATTTAATTGCTCATTGATAGTTTGGTTCTATAAGAAACTAGTTTAGGTGGTTACCTCTTATCTAAAGCCAATAGGGTGAATGTAACCTAAGTGGGTCAACTTCAATCTAAAAATCTTACTTCTCATAGTAAAAAAGCAGCCAAAGATTGGATCTACAGAATGGCAGATCTGGTGTTGTGGGCCAGTGCTCATGCTGTCACACCATTAACACAAACAGGCATGACTCTGTGGAGCTGCTACAGTGCCCAGGCCAAAAAGGGCTGCAGAGCCCACTGTGCGAGATCTGCCCTCCTCTGGAGTCTTGCTTCGGAGCAGCCTCCGACAGTGCCTGCCACTGACCCCACTTCCTCTGTAAAGATGCTGTTGGGCTCAGTGCAGTCCAGGGGAGTGGGAGTAAGGCCTGATGTGTGAACACAGCGCCTGAGCAGAGGCTGGCAAGGTCATCTGGAAAAGCAAGTCTACTTTTCACAAGTAAAAAATCCCAACCACTTCACAGTCATTCCTTTAACATAAAATTAATTCACTCTGAAAAATAATACACTTTGAAACCCTCTGTCACATTTATAAAAAGAAAAAATTCCAACAATTAAAAAAATCTTTTAAAACCTTTGTAACAATTGCCTTCTTATTAAGAAATATAAAACAGTTTAAGACACTTGGTGACTTCCTTAGGTCATATATCAGGGGATTAATACACAGTGAGGTTTTACTACTAAAATTATCCACTTGGTAAAAACTCTAGAAAGAGTTCATCAACGAGCAGGGCA